TAATTGGTGTCAAAAAACGCTTGACCGTTTCAATTCCGGAAGCTCAAGAAATGTGTACAGCATTGTTAGTGGTGATGAATCGTGGATTTACTATTATGAACAAGAAAATAAACCACAGTCGGTTGTTTGGGTATTCCAAGGTGAAGAAAAGCCAACAAAAGCCATCCGTTCTCGAAGTGTTTCGAAAAAAGATGGTCGCGACATTTGCCTTGGAAAAACAATAAAGCCATTTAAAACCACCTACCGTGTTGTTTTATTTCCAGATGCAAAACTTAAAAGACTCTTCTTACTAGACGATTTACGTCGATTTCGAAATCCGTAAGTCCAAATTATGTTTTGGATAGAAACTTTTCATGATACTTTAGGACAAACCTTCTGCCCTAAAAATCACCTATCACTCACAAGTATAGGTGTAATCAATGGGAGAATTCAATTAAATTTTTAGATAGACAAACTTTACTGTTCATTTGAATCAGAAATCAAAATCGTATAAATAGCCTTTTTGTGTATAATTGCATAATTTCACCATGACATGCCACTAATTCTGAGTCAAAGATTCTTATGGCCTTCACTTTCCACTTTTGTATTCTTGTTCGAGCTTTTTACGAATAACTTCTACCGGGTATTTGAAAATGCAGAATATACATATATTTTGCACTTTTGCATTCCACGCGTACCTAAACCACTTCCGTTTTAATCAACTTATTAAAAAAATTGATAGAAGACATAATAATTTGGATATTTGTGGAAAAAAATTAACAAACTTCCTTTTCCTCAGTACCATTTTTTCAGTTAGTTCACTATTTTTGTTGGTCTTCTAATAGTAACCGCTTAGGCATGGTGTTATCAAATATGTGTAAAGTAGGAAGTATTAATAGAGAACTGAATTCGCGGGTGAATTCAGTTTACGCACTTACAAATAATATTTATTTTTATGTGTTGGTATTAGATCCTGCACCTATATAATTTATCTTAGGAGTAATAGATAATGATATCATGGTGAATATTGCTTCAAATAAACGACATATATCAACGTATGTAATACTTTGATTCTTTAAGGTTGTACAAGCTAAAATCCGCACGCCACTTCAATTTTGTAATGAGTTACTATGAAGATGTGTAAACAACACAATGATGACATGTCTGTCAACTTTTCATAAACTAACTCCACTACAGTGCATTTTTTAAATCCAAGTTTACTGCTTATAACTCCTACATAATCTAATATGCCTTGGTGGAAATTTTTATAAACCGAATGGTAAACATTATTTTCCAATTTGGTGTAACATCTCCCGGTCCAACTCAGTACTTTGCCTTACCCCGCTCGGCCCCAAATCCAATCTAACTCGACTTTAAGTCCTTTAGATTCCCAATAAAAGGGAGCTGTAGTCCCAACTTCCCTGTCCTGATTAGAATAGTTGCTTGAGTCATTCGACGCGTCGCAGGCAGTATGACAAATGGTCCGTATCACCTCATAATCATTTAATTCCAGTTAACCTCCTCGCGTCATCAACGTAGAGGGGAGGCTTTCTATGGGCGACTTAATCATTCCAAACGGAATGAACGGGGTAGCTGGGTGCAGTTTATTTGCAATTATCGCTTCAAATGGAATGTCAGATTAGTCTTTATGGTATGGAGAGGAAATAGTTTAGATTCGAAAGAGTTATTGCTTTTCGACCGTATATAACTTCTATTGGTCTCGTAAATGGAAGAAACATTTTTGGCATCAATCTATTGATGTTGTTATTTGTTGCGCACCTACTTCGTATATTCAAGATTTGGAAAATAGGTGCCGCTACCTTCTTGTACTGATTTCTATACCATTGCTGACAAAACTTCAACAGTCAGCTATTGTTATTATTGCTTCGGGGTATTTATCGGTAGGTGTTTAATTGTCCTCGCCTCGATTTTTAGTACAGGTAACAATTATATTTCAACGTATGTACGTAGGAATTTAAATTCTAAATCTTTAGGGTAGCCCATTAAAAATGCCAAACAAGGAAGGTTTCAGTTGAAACTTGACTAGCCAGAAAATCAAAACTAGCAAAAACATTTCCAAACAACGCCAACGAGAAAACTCGAGAATTTTATCAGCTGAAGTCCTTGTGAAGCTTCATATCGAAATTATCCTCGCAAATTCAACTAAGCTGTAACGTTGTGACATATTTTTGTGGAAGTAGCGCGAAAGTGGACTCTTCTGACCGTCGTGTTTCTTGCAGGCTAGACCATTATTTCGTCAAATTTCCAGGTGCGACAACAAATAGTCAGGCTACCGTTTCTTCTGCAGTTCACTGTAAAAACTTGTAAAGTGTATGAAGAATTAATCCTGCAAATTCCATCCGACTATCATAAGGGCATCATATTGATGCATGCATTTTAGTTGTACAAATACTAAAATATGTATGTAATCCTAACTTAATTAGATTTTTTTGCATTGCAAGACATCGACAAAACACTGTCCGATATTAATCTTACAACTTATATTTGTATATTGTTTGTATCATACCTAATTTCATATATGAGTCTTGAAAATAAGAAGTATTATTTAGAAAAATTTTTGATTACCCTACAAGGAGCTCCGACGAAGTATTTTCTGGAAACCATCAAATGACGAGAGAGCTTTAGAACGTTCAAAAAGTACTCCTGTAATGCTAGCCGTTGTTTTGAAAATACTATGTATACAGTGCTTCTCAAGAAGATCGTATCCCTCTTCTTCTTTTTTGAGCAGGTCAAGTCAACAAATGGAATAAGGGTTGATATGTTGCCACATTTTGAACATTGCATGTCTACCTGTATATCTTTCAAATAATGATTCCATGCAAAATAGCGTCATACTTCCCTCACTAAGCTTCACATAGACAGCCATCTTTTACTGCTGTCGGTAACTGCATCTGAAGCTCAATTTTATATTTTAGTACTGGAACACTATACTATTTCACAGTTTGCTTTATCTCGTTTGTCACTTTACGACTGAGTAACTGTCGGCGCGCATCCAGTAAAGCGCGTCTTAATGGATTTTTCAACTAAGTAATTATTAATTTTAATATTTATGAGATGCCAGTAACCATTACTTAACCAATAACAGGCCGTAATGGCTTCAGCGGCAGTAGTAAGTTGGGTATAGCATACGCACAACTTTTGTAGAGTTAGTTATTATAGTTATCTGTTCTTAGTCTATTAAATTTAGTAACACTTTTGCTGCGGAAGTGTTAAAAGCTCTCAAAATTTCGCCAAGATTTTTCGCAAAGTCGATAGATCTACATAAACCCTGCTGTGTGAATCTCCTCCATAACATAGCCAGTCTGTGCAACAAAAATTTTACAACAAGATGCGATTATATTTGCTTTGTTACTGATCAGTTGTCCTGTGAATAAGAGAATCGTTTCTTGGGAGACATCGACCTCCTGTAATTGTGAAACAAACTCCGCTGGAACATATCACAAACTTATTTAAGGGCCCTTCGTCACCGAAGCGCTATGCGATACGGCTACCATTCGTATCCAAACTAGGCGCCACTTCTATACAACTATCTCCTCACACATACATTTGCACTCCACGTCTATGCGCGAACGTTTGTTTGTGTAAGCCCTCTCACTATCAGTGTGACAGACCACATACCATTTTGAGTTCACCTTTGATTAATATTAGTAATATAAAACAGCAGTACCTGAAAATACAACTAATGATCAATATCAATAGTTTTTGGCAAAACTATTTCGAGAAATTGAATGAAATCAATGATCCTTTATTAATCAACCAATCTGTGCAAGAGCAGCAATTTTTAGTATCGGTTTACCCAGGGTGCAATTTTCATCTGGAGCTTCTACTCCAGACATGATTCAGTAAGTCGATTTTCCTACTTATTCCGCTTGGCATTCATGATGTAACCTCCAAAAACCGTAAAAAGAACTATAGGTTAATTTTACGGACACTAGCTACGTTTCCATGGCTTTCCGATGAGGTAGGACGCTTATGGTTAGAGACGGCCAAAAAATAACATCTGAAGGGGATGAAATAAAAGCCCAATGGTACCCAAGTGGTATGATCGATCACCACTTCTCTAACATAGAGTACAGGATAGAGACACTTTAACGACGGAACACGAAGCATTACAAATCGTTCTTAAGAGATTTCTGATTTTATATCAACGCGATGAACAGCTCAATATTTGGAAAACTGATCGTAGTTTCAGCCGTATATGCTGACTAGAGGCGGCTACAGACACACGCTTATGACTTAATACATAAACGCGCGTTCGTAAATGCGCACTCAATAACGTCAATGTGTATGCAGATATCGGCAGCGTTCATGAACGTACGTTCACGATTGGCGTGGCGTGCAAATTTCAGCTCTCTACAGAAATTTTAAACGCACGTGCAGAGACGCGCATGCAAGTCTCAACGTGTAGAGGCAAAAGAACGTGCGAATTCCGCAGACAATCAGAGGTCAGTGCCGTTGATCAACGAAGTACGAATTATCTTCGAGTAAGTAATTTTTATTGATTGTAGAGATGTCTGACATCAGAACAGTGACTCGAGACTTCACCAGAGAATTCATTGAATTGTACAGGGCACATCATTGTCTCTGAGAAACGAAAGCAAAAGAATATCTAGATAAAAATAAAAAAAATGCAGCATATACATTGTTACAGGAAAAGTTACAAAGTATTCAACCTAATGCTACAAAACAATCAGTCATAACAAAAATTAATACTCTACGTGGTGGTTTCTGAAGAGAACATAAAAAAGTACAAAATTCGAAAAGAAGTGGATCTGCGTTGGAAGATGTGTATGTGCCATCCCTGTGGTATTACGAATTACTGTTATTTCTTAAAGATCAAGAGATACCAAGATAGTCTGTTTCAAATATTGAAAGTGAAGAAGAAGTGCATGACGACGTGTTAGAGACGCAAATAGTTGAAGAGGAGAATGGAAGAGAGGTAGGTCAATAACTAAATAAAGTATATGTTTAATATTTATTTTACTGATATGTAAAAAGTAGGTGGTGTACAATCTTCCAAATTGTAGCAGCCAGCTTTAATTTTTAAGTGATAATAATTCAGAAAACTACTTCTTAAACTGACGAAAAAAGCAAAAATTTTGATTGTTATGATGGCACCATTAATTATTATTGTATCATTCGTTCTTGCCAACTCAGAGCCCCTTCTTCGTTAAAAAATTGAGTAAACTCTCGACGCACTTGACTTGCTTCGCTACTGAAGTTTCTGCTATGGCTACGTTGCAGGTTTGCTAGTTGCGAAGGATTTGCTCTAAGCCCCATTTGCACCGTTCCGTCTGTACGATTTTCTTGATCTAAAGAATCCATTGGTGTGTAAGACTGACTGCATTTGCGTCTTAAGAAATAATGCAGGACGCAGCAAGCCATTACGACCTTGTCTATCGATTCTATCTGTAGACTGATAGCTGACTGAAGTACCTGAAATCTTGCTGATAGTATGCCAAATGAATTTTCAATTTTGCATCGTGCCCTTGATAAGCGGTAATCATAAATTTTTTGATCATGATTCAGGTCGTTTTGACTGTTAGGTTTTAAGAAATCACTATGTAATGCAAAAGCTCCATCTCCAACGAATACAAATGGTAGCTCTCTGTCACTGTTTCGTGGGCAAGTTGCAGGTGGCAGCTTTAATGTTTTATTTTTTAATTTTGTGTAGAAATGAGTGCATGCTATGACTCCTCCATCCGATATTCGACCGTTGGTACCAAAATCACACATTATAAATTCATAATTTACATTACATATAGACATGAGAACTAAACTGTTATAACCCTTGTAATTATAATAAAATTCTCCGCTGCCCGGTGGTGGTTTGATTTGAACATGTTTGCGATCTACGGCTCCTACACAATTAGGAAAGTTGCATACTTCTTCAAAGCCTTCAGAGATACTTTTCCATTCTGTTTCTGTTGTATGAAACTTATAAAATATATAAATATGTAATATAATATGTGTGTATTATTTTCAGGTAGGTGATGCCGTATCTGAACAAACTGAAATGGAGGCACATTCAGAACATAATATGGCGAGCACATCAAGACCTTCATCAGCACTATCCAGTCGATCATCACCACATTTACCCAAAAGGTCCAAAAAATTCAAAGCACACCACCAAAATATTAATAAAGCAGATCGGATATTAGACATTGTCGGTACAGGACTCAATAAACCGGCAGACGAGTTCGACCTTATGGGAAAATCGATAGCAATCAAATTACGGCGATTGCCAAGAGAAATACGACTATATCCAGAAAAATTAATAAACGATATCCTATTTCAAGCGGAGTTAGGAAAAGTTAACGAACATACAAGAATAACGTCCGAACCAACACCAATTAATAATAGTAATACATTATTTCCTCCGCTACCAAACTGTGATCCCATCTAGACTCAGTCTACACCAACCAACCAACCAACAACAATTAATAATAGTAATACAGCTGCTGTGTATTACGGCTCTTATAATCCTTTACAATAATTAATATTATACTGTTATGGATATGGTGTTATGTTTTTCCTTATTTAATGAAAATATGTTTTTCTTACCTTCATGTATTTTTGCTGTAGTACTTGGTATATAGATGAGCATGTTTCAGGAATTATTTCGCTCAAAGCGTGCGGAGATATTATCGTAGATAATCTTAAATAATTTCGTCCAGACGTCAAATATCGAAGGGTTGCGGTTAACCGTTCGTGTGCACTTATTTCAGATCTCATAACTGTGTCCTGACGTTTTATTAGTGAAGTAAACAATTCTACATAGGTATCCTCATCCATTCGTAGATAATTACGCCAATCAACGGGTTCTCCTTTCAATTCTTCCAATAAGTTAATATGTGAAAATGACTGTCTTTTCAAAAGCCATTCCTTAGACTACAGGCGACGACGCTTTTTCGACTTTTTGGCACTTTTTAAAACGTAATCGCACGCCACTGCCATAACAGCAAGCTCCTCATCGGACGACATCACAACTTCTTCCGTCGCGCACACCGATTAAAAGTCGGTAGAAAAGTTTGAGCGTCTGTACATAAAGCAAATTCGTGTCTATGCATGCACGTTAATGAACACGCGTTCATAAATTCAGTCATCAGCGTGCGTCTGTAGCCGCCTTAATTATTGTATTTCAGGCATCTACTACAGATGAAAATATCAAATACCAAAAATTAGACAGCTGCAGGTCAAGCAAGTCACGAGGTAACTGCAAGGAGGTGCTACTAATTTTTCGAAATACATCGATCTCCTTATGCTTAAGCACAACAGAAAGTCCCTAAGAAATCTATATCAAGTTTTGATCAGAGTTGCCCCTGTTAGTAGCCTCCTACACACATGTTGCGTGTTTGTTGTACTCCGGACGCTCAAAAAAAGGTGAAGTATTTTTCACGATCGCCAAAAGAAGAAACAAAATACTAAATAATCGACAGCGAATTCTTGAACAGTTCACGTTCCAGTGCGAATAATGAAACAGAATTTATTCATTATAACACGGACGAGAGCTGACATGCAGGTTCCGCTGCACGTCGGGCTCACGTTTGTGTGTGAGAATTTGTAACGCGACTTGCTTTGGACTCGAGAAGAAGGTATCAGGATATTATGAAACAAGAGCGATATTTGGTAAAATCTGAAAATGTATCCTTTTTTGCTTTTAGCTCCCCGCCACTACACCTCTTTTTGGAAATAATGTCGCTTAATATTGTTTACTATTCCCCATGTCATGTTGTCCTTCATACTTCCTCAAAATGTGTGCAGCAGGTTGCTGAGATTATACGGTTATAAAGACACCAATAGACCAACAGACTAGTAGATGAGTCGTCGAAAATGAGAGATGTCGGCTTCAGAAATAATATAAAGATCTAAAAAAATGTTATCCAAAACCTGAAAGTCACGTCACAATGGGTCACTTTCCAAAATTTTTATATTAACGGAACCTCACTACGAGTACTTTGCCTTAATATTCCGGCTGTTTGCAACTTTTGCCTGCCAAGGCTATAACGTACAATCTTGCGACGAAAACTTGATGTAATAGTTCCAGCTAAAGGTACTCATTTCTTTTCCACGATTTATCCTTGGAATGAGTTCTTGACATGTGAGTACATGCCATGCTTGTTAGGAATAGTAGTTGTAACCTTTGAAAATAAAGATATTCACAGATTGTGTATGTTCTATTGGTATCCAAAATATAATTAACTAATTGCTTGAACGACCAATACAAATGATTTAAACTTAATTTGCGACAGGAGCGGAAGCTTGAGGATAAACTGCAACATCCTTTTAACAAGGAGGTACACAATCTAATATTTGATCTATATTTTAGTACTCATGAAAAATTTTACGTTCAACTCGAGTCACTTAGGGTAGGACTGCATCATGAGTAAGATAGCTACTTACTCGTAGAACATGCTCAGAGAGCAGAGAATCGCACTTACAGTTGTCCTATCCTCAAGTAGGCGGCTTGTGGAGCATTCCCAAGCTTTCACCTCGCTTGGATCTGCGAAAGGTTGGGAAATCTTAAAACTGAAGATACTACAGACCAAAATATGTGAATTGACCTAAACATACTTCAGTCCAAAAGTTGATACTCGTAGCGTGCGAGATACAGGGTATCAGAGTTACAATTTTATTATCTATTTTTCCTTATTGCTTAAGAAGTATTTCAGATTTTGGCGTAAAACTCGGTATTTGGAGGTTTTCCAGTATGGGAAACAAAAATCCGTTATTTTTTATGGTCAAACTTCTAGAGGGCCACTTACAGCACTATTTCGGTAAATAACTTATCATAACTCTTTTGTGCTACCCTGTATACAACAACTGACCAAAAAATCTTATTTTTTCTTATTCTCGCAACAAAAAAGGCTCACTTGTTAGAAGCGTTTAAAGCTAATAGTTTTCGAGATATTCGATTTTAGAGGTTCCAAACATTTCTCTTGAAAGATTTGAAAACTTCATCGAATTTCTTGAAAATTGGGACATACTACATACAAAAAAATTGTGATTACAGGTGACTTCAATTGCCCTCGACTAGTTAATAACAATGTTGATGATGGAAAAACCCGCATAATTAAAAACCTTCTTACTTTCCTTGACATGCATCAGTTTAACAGTATACCTAATGTTTATGGCAGGATACTTGATTTTAATATTAGTAATGTACACTGCACCGTAAACCGCAATTGTGCTCCTTTGGTAAATGAAGTTTCATTCCACCCATCTTTATCAATCAGAATTTCTGAAGTAATTGAAAAGCATCACGCTAACAGAACAACCATCATAAACGTTACAACTTTAAAAAAGCAGACTTCATCTCACTTTACAGCAGCCTGCTGAATACAAGCTGGGAGGTTTTGGTAGATATAGATGACGTAAATGCAGCTGTGGATATTTTTTATAAAACATTATACAAAATATTTGATGACCACGTGCCACTTCATAAAGTTTTTCGTCATAAATATCCTGTGTGGTATACAAGGGAAGCTATCAAACTTGTTAAGCATAAGTCTAAATTACACAAAAGGCATAAATCAACCGGAATATTAGCTGATTACGAACTTTTTAGTAATACCAGACTGAAATTGAAACAGAAAATTAGGGAAGATTATCAATGCTATCTTCAGCATATTCAAAATCAGTTAAAGCTGAATCCTAAATCATTTTGGTCATTTATTCACCAAAAAAACAGAACCTCTAGAATCCCAGCCAAGATGATTTATAATAATGAAACGTTTAGTGATTCTAAAAGTGTAGTCAATGCCTTTGTTAGTTTTTTTGAGAGCACCCTGTCTTCGGCTGACATTGATGCCGAAGAGAACCTAACATTCAGTCCGGATCTCATTGATACATTGGATGTGAGTGTCGAGTCAATAACGGAGGTAGAAATTAAAAAATAAACTAACGTCAGGTCATGATCAGATTCCTTCATTTTTTCTCAAAGATTGCATAATAGTTCTACTTCACCCACTTAAAGCTATTTTCAACCGAATTCTCAAGACATCAACTTTTCCTGAAGTGTGGAAGATTGCTAAGGTATCCCTATACACAAGTCGCAACAGTTAAATGTTATAAGCAACTACAGACCAATTTCTATTCTCTGCCATCCAGCGAAACTCTTAGAAATTATTCACATTGTTCACATTAATTCAACCACATCTGGTTACTATGTTTCTACTAGTGGAGTACCACAGGGGTCCAATTTGGGACCTCTATTATTTTTGTTATATGTTAATGACCTATGCACTTCACTGGAATGCAATAAATTAATGTTTGCGGACGATCTAAAAATGTATGCATCCATTGCATGTCTAGAAGACTGTGCTGCCCTGCAATCGCAGATCGATGTTTTACATGACTGGTGTATTAGAAATCATCTGCATTTAAATATCTCCAAATGCAGAATAGTAACCTTTAGCCGACGTTCCACCATACTATATCCTTATACAATCAATGGTACAGACCTTTCGAGAACTGACTCAATCAGAGATCTAGGCGTTTGCTTTGACAGTCAGTTAACGCTCAACTCACATATTAATCAAATTATTATGAATGCATTTCGATCATATGGCTTTATCATAAGAAACTGTAAGCTTTTTACTGATCTGTCGGCACTAACTTTATTGTATTCTAGTCTAGTCAGGTCGAAATTGGAATACTGTTCACTAATATGGAACCCAATTTACAATATTTATAAAACATGTATCGAAAAGGTTCAAAAAAAATTTCTAAAGTACTTATCTTTCAAGCTTGATGGGGTATATCCACAAAGAGGTAGTGATTATATGATGCTTGTGAACAGATTCAACTTTCAAACTTTAGAGAGCCATAGAGGTCAGGCATCTGTTTTATTTTTCCATAAACTACTAAATGGCAAAATTGACTCTGTCGACCTGTCATCACAGCTAAATATCTTTGTACCTAGACTTAATGCTAGAGATCATTACACGTTTTTGTGTAAAACAGCTCAAACAAATATATTAATAAAAGCACCTATTAATCAAATGTGTGCAAGCGCGAACAAACTGTCTAACGTCTGTGACATTGTCTGCTGCAGTTTTTCAGAAATAAGAACCCAGTGTCGTGTCAATTTGTAGTTTCGCTAAAGTTAGTTATAAGTAAATTTAGTACATTAATTGTTGGGCAATATATGCTTTATTATTTATTATTATTTATTATTATTATTTGTACCATGATGATAAAACATTTTTATAACATAATAATCAAGTTGCTAGGGATAATATATGAGTAGCGTTGCTATGGTTTCTAATGTTTGTCATAATATTGATTTAAACTTCATGAGTAATCTTAAGTTTGCAATATTGTTAAACATCATGAAGTATACGTTTGATGAATATTGTCATATACATTTAATGTACGGATTGGCAAGATGTATTGCTTTAAAAGCAGGAAGATTATACGCTAATAGATTCCCTACTAGACACCTGCCTAATTCAAAGACTTTCCAACTGATCGATCAGAGGTTACGAGAAACTGGTAAGAAATAATTATAGCCGTATTTTGAGTAGTAAAAACTATTTGGATTTTAGGTAGCTATGCTCAAAATATGGGCCGACATGGTGGAGCCCCCAGAACTGTACGTACAGCTGAAGTTGAAGAAAATGTTTTAAATGCTGTCTTTGAAAATCTGGCAGTTGGGGTTGGTAGCTCGAGAATTTCAAGTTTCCAAATCTACAGTAAATATCATTTTTCAGGAGCAACTGCTCCATCCATACCGCCTGCAAAAAGTACATGGTTTAAGCGCGGATGATGACCCCGCAAGGGTAGAATTTTGTACATGGCTCTTAAGGAAGTATAACCACAACAATGGTTTTACTTCGTTAGCATTATTTTCGGGCGAAGCAGGATTTGGAAGGGATGGGCTCATTATTTCGCATAGTCTTTACATTTATGCAGACGAAAATCCTCATGCAATAATACAAACCCGCCAATTTCAACTTAATTTATGGGCTGGAATAATTGGACAATATTTAATAGGATCCGTTGAGTTACGACCTAGGCTAAATGACCAAAGGTATTTACAATTTCTTGAAGAACAATTACCCACTCTGCTGGAAGATCTCTGTATATTGTGAAGAACATCAGAACTTGCAAACCCCTACTTCCGGCTTCATCAGTCTAGCTATTAGGCGGTGGAAAAACAGTTTGGAGTGTACTAACTG